TAGCTTCGTGCAGCATGCATTTGTCGCCATGAATATGCAGCAGAGCCATCCCTTCAGCAGGAGCCACCTGCAGAGTAAGAAACAAGAACGCCGATATAACTTGTCAAGCAAGTGAAATCGAAACCAATGCCCAAGAAACAAATAAAAGAAGATTATAGATCAAAGAGAAAAAGCGAGGCACCTCGGCCACTACATTGTTCCTCCAGCCATAGAACACAGTCTCTCCACCAACTAGAGGCTCCATGGATGCATCCTTCTGGTTATCTAACTCACTCTTATTAGCTTTGGCATTAGAAATACCACTCAAGTATATCAAGAGAGTATAGTAAGTGCGCTTCCCTTCCCCAATGTCGACACTTTCATCGATATGGCGCCCAAATCGCTGACCAGCCTTGTACCTGAACAAAAGCATATAGCTTTGATGACACAGTACAATCTCCCCCAAGCTTCAATAACTGATTACAGTATATCCGTTCGTTTACCTGTAGAATCTGATGTTTGGGTTCAACCCAACAGCAACCTTGCCCCTAATCTTGATGTCAGCGAACAATTTGCTAAGCCCAGAATCCCAAAGCGTGCTTGCTAGAACAGGATCGGTCACGGAGATCCTGTCATTGTCTCTATAAGCTTCCCCCTTCGTCGGACCAAGGCTGCCCTGATGAACGAATCCAATCGACTCTGCAACTCTGATGAACGCATTTGATTCAGCTGCTGACAAGAATTCTGGCACCTAGAAAACACATCAATTCAGTCTTTGAGCCGAGAAATCAAAATCGCAGAGCAAAAAAACTTGATCACGGGCTCCCTAGAGTCCCAAAATCAACGTTTAGCTACACAAATGAATCGGCGAAAGAGGGGGGGATTGAAGAAACATACAGTAAAGAGGTCGGAATCTTTGAGACGGTTGATTTGGAGATTTTTTTTGGGTCTGACGGCGGGCCAAGTTGAATCTGGTGCTGACTTACGCACGCCGCCGGCATCTTTCTTGTCGGTCATTTTTCTCTTCCTCGCACCGCCGCCGCTATTTCCGGCTTCTGCCATTTTTTCGCCTTTCTTGCTCTCCGGTCAGCTGCAACTTCTGTGCATCATAATCGTTCATTCATTTGGCAACCGAAATTCCTGGTTCGTGAGAGTATTGGGCTCCGAAAGTGGATAGGAGTAGAACCCTTATGGGCCACGGCTATTAACGATGGGCCGAAACCACGGCCCTATATAAGGCCACAAGCCCAGAACACAAACACTAGCTCTTTGCCTCTTTTCCCTTCCTTTGATTTCTCTTTTTTGAGTTCAGCTGTCATCTACTCATCTTTGTGATGATAAAACTAGCTGATTAACACTACTACTGCTATTCAATTACCTCCTGAATAAAATTAAAATCAATAGTGAGTAGGTTTGAAGTTTGGTAGCTGTGTTTGGATATACCGAATTTGTATTAAATTTACTATGATTCGGAATTATAGAATATCGAATTACTTTTAGTCATTGGGATTGAGATTGACTTTGGGTGTTATTCGGTCTTTTAATGGATTTGAAAGAAATTGTAATGAGATTGAAATCAATATATATAAAAATATCGTGAAATATATAAAAACAAAAGTTACTATTACAACCCACAACGTATGGTCATTCTTCACTCTTTGACAACTCGCATGCCCCATCTAATATAAGTTTACCTTCCAAGTTTTCTTAGGTCACTCTCTTCTTTCACCCAATGTCAAGTTATTTTAAGAACACCAAAAAGAGAACACTATCATAATCATTTTTAACCTCCAATCCGTCGAACCAAAGACTACCAAGAGCAAAAAAAAATTGAGATATCATCATCCTATCTCCTCTTTGTCTCTAACTTGGCTTGAGGCAAACTCAAGACATTTACTTAGTCTTTTAGCCCCAAAGTGAACCTTTGATAAATCTATTAAATAGACTTTGATTAATACATTCAATTGGGACTTTGATTAGTTTTTATTAGAGTTTTCTCACCTCAACTTCTCATCACCAAGGTTTTCAATTATGGAATAGAAGTATAGAACCTAAAAGCTTGCACAATATTAAAAAAGTTTAGGATTAAAGGTGTTATAACCATTATTTGTATATGTATATATTAAACTCATATGTCATCATTATGTAATGTAAACTTATACCAACTTGTGAGAATTTGGATTCTTTAATTCATACGTGAGTTTTGATCTATGTTTATGAACTTATTGTTAAGATGTTATGAGTTTGCTCTATTTTAGAGTCCACACAAATTAGTTTATGTGTGAGAAATTACGTTTTAAACATGAATTCGCGTATTTATTCACTTATCTAAAATTTGTACACTCAATTTTACATAGTACATGTCGGACTTAACAGTTTTTTAGCTATTTTGTAGGATGTATAAAAAAACTTGCGTTTTTACGCTTTGATTCTATGCTTTACAATATTACTCATTTTCCACACTTTTGACTGTATTGCTCATAATTCATCTGCAATAACATAATAACATACTTACAAGGATATATGACACTATATCCATCTACAGACACAGACAATAACCGATAGCTACACTTTTGTGAGCACGTTTTCACAAATTAGTTTGATAATACGTCTTCACAGGCTTAGATGCTAGTATATTAGCAAAATTCTTGAGTAGTTATTATTGTAAAAGTGAAAAGAAAATTCATCGGAGAGAAAGAATCGTTCTTTTTTAGGAGGTTCCAAACTTCAGCAAAAGAAAATTCTGATAAGCTTTAATAGATGAACGAAAAAAGAAGATTCAGATGAAACTTGTGATTAATGATGAATTAGTGGGCAGAGTAATTAGCAAACACGAATTAATTAATTAATTAATTAGTGGAATACAAAGGTGATGGTGGGGTCACGTGACAGCGTAGCCATTGGCTGACGTGCTTCCCGGCCACAGCTCATACTATTCGCTCCTTATGCACGTCGATTGTACGATGATGTTGACAAAAGCTTTCCCAATTATTTTTAATTAATTAATGAATTTTCCTTTCGTTTGCACAGTTTTCTAAAAATCTATTTTGGATTCCCTGTTTTCTTTCTTTATTTTATTGTGATATTAAATACCACTTATCATTTCCCAGCCAGTAGTTTTGGCAAAACAGCTCTGTAGCGTGGTGGTAAAGGTTGTCAACCCGCGGGTTGACCCGGACCCGGTTGAGCTAGTGGGTCAAGGGTTAATGGGTCACCCGTTTTAGCCCGGAAATATGGAAAGCGTCATTATATTATACTTATCCTGATAAATTATATCAAATCTCATCTAACATATGAGTTATAACATATAATATTACACAAAAATAACATTTCGTACTTAGATGCAACATATAGTGAAAATTCACACACACTTATATAACATTAATATTCAAATGTTCAACTTAGGATTCCAAAGATTGAGTTAGGCGAAAAGAAAAATCGGAAAATAGGCACATTTCGCAAAACAAAGAAAAAAATGACACAATTTGACCTCCAACCCGGTACCTTGTAGCGGTCGACCCGGCGGGTGCGTGCGGCCCGTTTTTCTCACCGGGTCAGGGTCAAAGTGGGTCGACCCGCGGGTTGACAACCTTGGTGGTGGTGGTATAGTGCAGTGACTAAATTTGAGGATCACTAATTGAGGATCACTGGAACAAAAAATTTATCAATCTCATTCACATTATTTCAATAATCTCATATAAATATGAAATTTAATTATCACTCATTTTGAGTCATCTCTTTTATCACATCAAGTAAACAATATTCATAATATTTTGCATAAAATTATAAAAAAGTTGCATAAAATTATAAAAAAAAGTATTGTATCCATCTCAACCAAACTATCGTAAAAACAAACTACTCATTTTTTATAAGATATAAAAAACCATTTTCTTATCAAATCACTCATTTACTTACAAAAAAAAAAACCCCACTCATTACGCACAATAAAAAAAATGTACTTGTTTTGTTTAGATTGTTTGGTAGAGATTGTTGGGTTGTTTTTTCTTCCAACTATGTCCCTATCTTTTTCATGTGTGTTACTTTTTTATATTAAAAGCAAATGTAAAAGGGACATTTCATCCAAAAAGTAATATAACTTGTTTAACTGCTACAATAGCTATCACAAAAACCAAACAATATAAACTACAAGTCTACAACACACCAATTTTCTTATATACATGCATATTAGTATACATGCATTGATGACAATCCATCGATTTAACTATCACCAAAACCAAACGAGCAAAACACCTTGGTTAATGTGGATATTTGGTCCGGTTGCACGAATTTCGTTGATATTAGTAAGGGGTGATGAGATAGTCTCGAGCGTATATGTTGGATCAAATATTTCTTTTTAAATGATTCCGCTAAGTTACTTGGCCTTCTAGTTTACATGCAGGTCGAAGTTCGAACCCATTGAATTTATAGCACTGCAATAGATGATGCGGCATTTACTTGTAGAATGTTTATGACAAGGTGCAGACGCGTCCATGCTGTGGGTACGACTACTAATGTATTGAGTTATTCACAGTAATTTGATGTTTGATTAGGAAAAAGTTCGATTAAATTTCGACTTGTTTACTAAAGAGTTGAGTTTGAACTATGTATTGTTCAACTTGTGAAGCTCGTGAGCCAGCTTGAAACGGTGATTTGTTGTGCTCAGTCATCTCAACATTGTGGCTAACGTGTCAACTCGATTACCGACTTATAAACAAATCGATCTATATCGTATGAGTTTGCTTTAAATTGTCTATAGAGGAATCAAACCCAGTATCCACTAGATGTTTACTTGTGAACTACAAGGAATCTTGTGAGTCATAGCCATTATTATTTTATGAGGTTTTTTGGAATCAAATTTGTTTATTTAATTTATTAGGCCCCATTCTTAAATTTTCCAAAATTGAGCAAGAAATTAGTTGTTTCCGTACGGGCTGGCGCTTCATTTTTGCAGTAACAAGTAACTTTCTCACCACTGAATTCTCCCTTCCCTGAAATGTAAATATTCTCTACGTCTGGTCCGCGTTGAACTAGGAAAAAAAAAAAAAAAATGAAGCAGATACGGGGCAAAAGGGGAAACGGCCCTCCAAAAAGTCATTTTGTCTCCTCCTGCTTTCTATCCTCAGACTAACAAAAGAGAAACCCCCAATTTCTTCCTCTTCATCTTCTTCTTCTTCTCCCTCTCTAGGGTTTTCTCTCTCTTACACAACCTTTCCTTTTCCAATTCATTTGGTCTGGCTGTAATATTCATTCATACATATATATAGACGCATAGATCGATCGTCTTAAAGCTAGCAAGGTGGGAGCTTCCCGATGATTTCTTCCCTCTGACGGCGTCTCCCCCCCGCCGCCTGCTGCCGGCCGGCAAAGCAATTAATCCTCTCCTTCGCCAGGTGACTAATTGCTGGAGGCTAGCTAGCTAGCTAGCTATTGGTTGTAATTTCCGTGAGCATCAGCTGATCGATCATAATTTCTTAGGGTTTCATCTTCATGAGCTAATTGATTTTTGTGGGCAGAGATCGATCGATAGGATGGTGAGGGGGAAGGTGGAGCTTCGAAGGATCGAGAACGCGGCGAGCAGGCAGGTGACCTTCTCGAAGCGGAGGAGCGGGCTGATGAAGAAAGCTCGCGAGCTGTCCGTACTGTGCGACGCCGAAATCGCAGTCATCGTCTTCTCCCAGCGCGGGAGGCTATCCGAGTTCTCTAATCACGAGTACGCTGCAGCTGCCCATCTGCTCTTTTTTCTCTCTCTCTCTCTATATATATTATTGATCGACTAACCCACAATCTTGAGAAAACTATGGGGTCCTTGAATACAATGTCCCTCCATCCTCCTCCCTGACTGAGTAATTACCGTAATAAATATTCGGATAATTTAGTTTGGTTAAAAATTTTAGTTTGTGTAGTTTAGGGGGTTTATTTGATTTCAGATATTACTAACCAATCAAATCAATTTATTAATTAGTCATATATCTCATATGCACTCGAAAATCAAGCATTTCTCCCTTTTAGACACAACCAAAAAATAAAGTTTATTATTATTGTTCCTATACTATATTTGTTCTTAAATCTTAACTTCTTATAGAGTGTAGGCAGCACCATATTGGCACCTAATTTTGATAAAAACTAATTTCAAAAGCAGAGCTATATATGCCACCTGCGACAACACCACAAATGGATATATAGTGGTTAACCACTAACCGCAAAGTGCGGTTAACTACATTAGTAATCGTTATGACGAGTTGTGAAAATTTTGGTGGATTGTGCCGCTAATGTGGGAGGATGGATCAAGGGCCACCAGATCACGATTAACTGCGTTAGTAGTCGGTTAAACTACGGTTACCTGTTATTCACATGCAATTTTGTTAAGCACGACCGCAAAATAGGCTATTTTAATTATTTGCAGTTAACCACTAATTGCATGGTTTCGGTGCGATTAGCGGTTTAACTGTAAAAATGCAATCAAATTTGTACCCCTTAACATTGTGAATGAAAATCGGAAAGAGAATGACTTTTTCACCCTCTGATAATTGCTATGTTACTAAGACAATTCAGACACACTCAATTCATTTGCATGTACTTTTGTTAGACGCCTACTTTTATTAAATATAAGATAATGGTATTAGTTAGCATGCATTTATCTTAAGAGTTAACTATTTATTGATTATTATATTTCATTCATTATATAAATCATGATCTATCCATTAACAAATTATTGTATAGTATATGTACAATATGAAGTTATCATAACGTTAAAGGTACAACTTGAAGTTGTACCATAAAAGCAAAAACCCTATAGCACCAATGCTATATAGCATTGTAAAATTTCCCATATATAGTTATGTCTTCGGTGCACTCACTTTTTTTAGTGCATTTAATGCACTCGCCTCATAATCATCATTCTAAGCAGACGATTCATGTGACTGGTTGGAGCTTTTGAGTCCAACCAAGGTTGGAGCTAAGAATTTTCTCATAGATCTACATACATAACTTTTATATGTGAAAGCATGCAAAGAAAACAGTATTTATGTAAAACATCGCTCCTTCTAAAAATTTGTTAATATTCAGTTGTGTTTTCAGTGCACTCATTTTAATCACCTTATGGGCCTTCGATTCATGTCCAAACAATGTCAATCATTACTAGTGATATAATGAACAAAAAAATATAAAACGCATGAAAATCATTCAAGATTTACTTTGATTTGTCATAAACCAATTGATTCCAATTATTCCAAGTTGTTGGGAGATGTTCAATTATGAATCTTATATCATTTACTAATACACCTAATCAAACGAAAGTAACACATAAGGGCTTGAAGTTTCCACATGTCTGAATATCATATGTTTAACAAATGAGGGTTACAGAGACCCCTTTGTCACAGAAGACTCTGCTACCATGTCAAGAACCAGTTATCTCAATAATATGTACTGTTAGGTGATATTCAATTATGGATCTTATAATTATTTATTAACATGATTTGAAGTGTTTATGGATGTAGGGTTAGTGTTTAAAATTTAGGGTTTAGACTTTAGGGTAATGCATGAATTAGTGGCGATCATATGCTATATCGTCATATTATACTAACGATATCAATTAAAATTAAATATCTTAGGACTAGTTTTAGAGTTAGGTGCATAGTATGCACTCATTTTTAGGGGTGTTCAAATAGTTATCATAGTAATTACCAAACCAAATAAGCCTAAATTCTATTAACTATAGAATACAATATTATAACCAAACCGTCCAAACTAATGCAACAACCAAATTAACCAAACTAAAGTTTAATCGGTTTGATTAATTAGTAACCCGATTAACCAATATAAAATCACATTATCATTATTGAGTAAGAAAATTTCCCAGTTGATGCATTAATTCGCAATTTATATAATGAAAAACATGACAATCAACACATAGTTATCGTTAACACTTAACATAAATACATGCAACTAATACAATTATATCTTAAAATCAATGAAAGTATTCACCTAAAAAAAATTATATGCAATGGTTTGGAGTTGATGAATTGTTGTGTTTGTGTGAATTGACTTAGCCTCTTAGCAATTATCACACGCTGAATAAAACTTCTTTTTTCAAGTTTTCATTCAATATAATGTATGAGTTTCAACTAAATTAGAAGTCTATATGTTGTCTACACTCTACAAATACTAATATACAATATAAGAACAATATTGAGTTTTATTTTTTTATGAGTCTGAAAGAGAGGAACGTTTGAGTCTTGGGTGGATAATATGTGTATATAATATATATTAGATACATGACTAATTACTTAATTGGTTAATTTGGTTTCATTGGTTATGAGTGTCTGAAACCAAACCAAACAACCTAAAAAATTCGACCGAACCAAACCAATTATCCAAATCAACCAAACGAATTTATCCGAATAGTACCGATTAAAATGGTTACCACGATAACCACTCCGTTTGAACACCTTTACTCATTTTTGTAGGTACAAGATAGAAACCTCCTATTATTATTTATTATTACAATCATTGTTAATTATTATGAATCTAGCATTGAAAATTCGTCGTAGAAGAGGTCTCATTAGGGCTAGCAATATATCTTAGCGCTGGTTGGTTGCTACAATTTCTATAAGGTTGCACTTTAAGCTGTAATCTTCTTTGTCAAACATGATTTATGTGATGAAGACGTTGTTGCATATATGGTCTGTGTCGCATGGTACTAAACAAGAGACTTTTGCTAATCTGCTATGTGGTTTTCTCATGCCCTTTTGACGCGCATGGAATTGAATGGAACCTTAATTGCTCGACCACTTTTAATTAAGCTGCTCACAGATCAACATTTAGTGACAAAAATAGAAACTGGCTATAGCTAGCTAACAGAAGACCACTAGTGCATCAATATTCCAAAACCGATCTATCTTTACAACCACGTCTTACATGTGTGTGTTCTCCGGCAAATGGCTTTTTTTTTTTCAGAATGCAGAAAACGATAGCTCGGTACCAAAAGCACGCCGGAGTAGTGGGAGTGGACAAGAGAGATACAGATTATTACTGCATTCAGGTGATCACTCCTGCTTATGAATGCCATATCTCTATGTCCATGATGTTTGATCATGGATCCTTCGTCGTAAGAGTAATATGTTTTGCTTCTTATTTTCTTGTTGTATCCTGATAGTGTAGTTGAATCCACATGCATGCAGCAACTCAAGCAAGAATCCGCTTCTATGGCCAAGAAGATTGAGCAGCTTGAGGCCTCCAGAAGGTTTCTTTCTTTCTTAACCGATCGAAACTAGTTGATTATTTGCAGAATCGGGACAAACCGAAGCTAACTTGCCCAGTTACTGTAATGGCTGTCATACCATATATAAACAGGAAGCTTTTGGGAGAACAGCTGGGGTCCTGCTCCCTGGAAGAGATCCGAAACCTAGGCGAACAGTTGGAAAGAAGCTTAGCTAACATCCGACTCAGAAAAGTATGCATGCATTCACCATTAACATATGTATAGTCCTCATGACAAAGCGCCATTTGCCTGTAGATCTAGATTTGCATGTTTAGGTTGCAGTAATTTTTTTAAAAAGTTGTTGAGTGACATTTAGTTAACCATTTTCTTGCATATACCGTCAAACGAAAGTCAACTTATGAACTTGAAGTTTGGATATATACATCATATTATGTGTTTTAAAGACAACAGTTAATTAATATTGAGGTTCGTGAGGATTTGAACGACCAATCAGTTCTAATATCGTGTAGGAGAGGTCCATACATGATACTTAAGCGCACTCACAGATGAAAATACGATTCCGGTGAGTAATCTTTGCCTTATGTTGGGTTGAATATGTTCAGGATGAGATGGTCATGGAGCAGATGAAGCAACTAAGGTTACAGGTAATTAAATTGGTGGAACTCCCACCAATATCCATGTAGTGACGATGGTTAAATGTTGGCAAATAAGATTTTTCTTTATAGGTAAAATCTTGTGATCCGAAATTTTGTTTGCAGGAAAGGGAGTTGCTAAGACAGAAGGCAACTTTATGTGAAAAGGTCAGAGCGTAACGTAGTTGAAAGAAAATTGATGGGAGTTTTGGACTTGGGTTCATAGCTCTCCATTCACCACCTTTTGTTGTTTGAAATTTCAGTGTAGTGAGAATATTCCACGGGAACCGTCGAGACGAGCTGGGACAGGAAACGAGGTGGCGGCGGCGGCGACGGGGACGGCAGCGGCGGGAAGCAGCGTGGGACTGAGCAATGAAAGTTCGACGGTGGAGACGACATTGTCCATCGGACTCCCAACGGCACCACGTTGGGACTTAAATTAGATTCGCTACGGTAGTTGGTTACGCGTCACCATATCTCATAACATTATACAAGAGTAGATAAAGTGAAGTATACCGCCGTCAGTACTTTATTTAATTACAAGATAATTGCTTATAATCTTATATTGCACTATGAAAAATACGGTTATAAAGATAGCTAAACAAAGGGAACTCCTACGCCTCCGCTTCAGTAAAAGCAACACAAAGCAAGGCTTCACCTAGCCCAATACAGACAAGACTATGGCAATAAAACATTCAACACCATAAGCCACCACTTGGGATCGTTCAGAGACGGTCCATCACAGTGAATCTTATGGAAGGGATTATTCCGTAATAGGCAGGGCTGGAACGAGATGCTCTGAGTTGATAAGACCGAGGGAACCGGAGCCGAGCGAACTAGGACTCACAGAAACAACGAAACACACCTTCACAATCTCTAAAGAGCCATAGATCAACAGCCAATGACATGCAAAAATGACACCATCACCCACTTTCGCCGACTAGAGAGGAGGCACACAAGCACACCAGGGGAAGGCTAAAGGGGAAAACAGTGAATGTTCTTACCATAGAAGATAAGACGACCAACAATGAACATTACTCCCAACGTTAGATGTCCATTAGAGGTGCTCCAACTTTCAATGGACCCAAAGCATAGCAAGAACAAACCAGATCATACACTGTGGAAGGAGACCACTTAGGAGAAATGAGAAAGACAACAACGGACTGGAAATACCAAGGTAGTCTGGAAAGACAATGAAAAGCACAAAAAAGGAGTTTGGAGTTTGGACTACCATGGATCATCAAAAGGAGTTGTAATAACCCTGAAAGGAGAGAGGGGTTAGAGAGAAGGGAGAGCAAAATTATTCAAAATAAAAGAAAAGAGAAGGGATTCATCCAACTGAGTATGGTACACAAATATTTTAATAAAACATTATCAATCAATTTAACTTAGTTAAACTGATTCTCGTACCTAATTTAACTTTAAATTGGATATGGTCAACTTAATCAAAACATTCGAATCTATAAGTTTTAACTATTTAGTCAAGTAAACTTACTTTTTTTTTTACAGCAAATGATTTTCATTCATATCAATGGTAGTGGTACAAGCTAAGCTAATTACAAAAATGATTTAATAATGTTAAGCACTTGGATCCAATCGTGGGGAAGAGATTCTTTTGCCACTTCCTTTACAACCCAATATGCACTCTTGTTTGTCAATCTTGGAATATATTCAATCTTAATCTCGTCATTCGCTCGGAGAATCAGTCTCATCCAATGTCTCCATGCTCTGATTTGCTGCGGTTCACTTTTGTTGGGATTATGTATGATCTCCACCAAAACTTGACATTCCAGGTAGATGATGACCGGATGGCTTGCATCTTGCGCATAACGAAGAGCCGACAGTAAGGGTTTAGCTTCTGCAACTATCACCGATGAACAGAGGAAAGTATCAGCAAAACCATCTAAAACATGTCCATGGGGTTTTTTGATGATTACCCCATAAGCCGCCAACCGTGATTTCGTTCTAAAAGAACAACTACAATGGATTTCCCAGAGATGAGAGTCAGGCGGTAGACTATGTGTAGGATGGTTTGGAGGATGCTGGACTTGAGATTGGATCAGGATTGAAGGAGGGGGTGGAATCGTCCAGTCATTAAAAAATTGCACCGCCTTTGTAGAAGTAGCAAACGTCTTAGGGATGACCCCTTTAAAAATTTGCTCATTTTTGGCGATCCAAATAGCCTAGAGACACGCAATCACCGCTGAGACCGAAATTGAAGAAGGGTCAAACTCGATGGAGTAGAGCCAAATGAGGATAGGTGAAGATTCCTGGGATAGATCCAGAGAGGGGAAGTTAGCTAGCGAGACCATTGCCGCATGTGGGCAAGTAAAGAGGCAATGTCTCACATCCTCATCTTCATTCTCACATATGGTGCTGAGCGGGGAAGGACTATATCTTTGATTCCAAAGGTTTCTCTTTGTAGCAACTACATTCCTTGACAACCTCAAATAAATGACAGGATCTTAGGCAGGAGAGAGAGACTCCATAACCATTTCCGAGCTTTCTCAGAGCAACTCGTATGGTTTGGGTCAGGCGTCCCCAACCGAATCCTCTATGAGGTTCTAAAGATATGATAAGCCAATTTCACCAAGAAAATCTCGGATTTCTTATGGTGCCACACCCATTGATCCCCAGTAGGATCTGGGCCGATTGGAATTCTTTTAATTGCCTCCACTTCCTCCGTAGTACAACTCTGGCTCATGAGATCAAGGTTCCATTCGCATTCATCCTCCATGACCCATTTGAAATCCCAAAGTTGTTGACGATCAATAGGTTGTAGGTTAAAGTTGTTAAGGCCGGGAATCCACGGATCATCCTCCAAGGATATAGTTTTACCACTTCCCATGTTCTTTCGTGCTCCCAACGTCAGGATAGCTTTTGCGTCGCGGAAAATTGAGCAGATCCATGAAGGTCTTCAACCTTTACCAGCCTCCATAAAGTCGCAATTTGAGAAATAGAGACCTTGTAGAAGTTTGATCCATGTTTCATCACCTCCTTTGAGTATTATCGATCCTTGCTTTGCTAAGAGGACCATATTGAATTGGTGAAAGTCTTTAACCCCCCCCCCTTCTTGCTTTGGAGTCGTTAGACACTATCCTTCCTCTAAGAGATTGAGGTTTTCTCCATGTCACCACCCCAAAAGAAGCTCATGAGTCTGAATCCATCTTCTTTGTTGTCCCTTTGGGAGGAGAAAACAAGACATAAGCAAAGTGGGATATCCTTGGTAGACTGACTTTAGGAGAATCTCCTTACCGGCTTGAGAGAGAGCAAGACCTTTCCACGCTTGCCAAAGCTTCTCCGTTCTATTGAGTAGGACTGTGAAGACTTCCCTTTTTATCTTCCGGACACCAATTTGTAAGGAAGTTAAGGAGTTTTTCTCACAAAGCTCCAAGCCTGAAGGGTGGAATGATACACATCTGGTGATGACTTCAAAGATTAAAAAAAAAACCCAGGAAGAGTCGCTCAATTCAGGCCTATCAGTTGTTATAATTTCATATACATGATTATCTTGAAGATTATGACTACAAGACTGAATGTTTGGCCGCCCTCTCCCTCCGTAAAAGCCCAAAATCTCCTCGTCCAATCAAGTCCCAGACCCCGCACTCAATTCCCTCCAGCTGCTCCATCCAGGCCCACGTGCTATTTAGCAAGTGATTCGAGAATTGTTTGCCGGTGCAACTTCTTTTTCGTGTTTTCTTCACCTGTAATACATCAAACTCATGGTACTAGGCAGTAATGGTTTTTCAACCATTCCGGGGTTAGCGAGCCCTAAAATAGCACCAATCGGCTTAAACAGATCATAGGATAGTCACATAAAGTTCAAGAATCAGATATATAATAGCCGATTATCAGAGATGCAGTCAACTTTCATTGGTGGAAGAGCTATTCAAGAATCATCATTATTGTCCATGAGGTGATGCACCACTTCAAGACTCACCCGAAAAGTGGAAAGTGGGAAATGATTATCAAATCAGACATGAAAAAGGCATATGATATGGTTGAATGGGATTGCCTTGACAATATCCTCAGAGCAATGGGTTTTGCTAATCAATGGTGTGATTGGGTCAAGGAATGTATTGAGACGGTTCATTTGAAGTGTTATTCAATGGTCAACCGTCTCAATTCTTTCAACCATCCAGAGACATACGTCAGGGAGATCCTCTCTCTCCTTTGCTCTTCATCCTCCTTAATTACTAATGTCTTGTCCTTTCTTATTTCGAAGAGTATCTAGGATGGAACTTACCAAGGCATCAACCTAAATCCAAACTATCCTAGACTAACGCATGTGTTGTTTGCAGATGACACAATCCTCTTCGGAAAAGCTTCAGTGGTAGAGGCAATGAACATCAAAACAACGATGGACCACTATGGGAGAATGACAGATCAAGAGATTAACTGTGATAAATTGACTTATTACTTTCAGTCACAACACCCCCAAATGCTATTAGGCAGCTGGTCGCAAATGTCTTGGAGATTCATTTTGCATCGGGTTTGGAAAAATACTTGGGGCTTCCAACTGAATGATGTCCCAATAGTTCCTGTAGAAAAGACTAGGGAAACCATTCAGTCTAGGAGATTTGCATGCTCCAAGTTCAAAAACCTCTCTCTTAATCTCCTCATCCTCAATAGGACGACAGAGGGCTTGATTCATTTCATCTGTCACCACACGTGGAATATCCTGAAACATCTTAGAGTTCACAACTTCAGTTCTCTTCTTGAAAAGGTACTGAAGAAAGAGATAAAATGGTTCTGAAGGTCATCTTGGTTAGTCACCTAGTTGTTTGTTTCATCAAGAAGCTTCATCACCTTCTTTAATTACTATGACTTTTTTGGATGATCGAAGTGTGAAAAAATCTTGGTCTCCCCCTTTCAACCATTGGATTCTTGATTGTTGCCTCCAAAACATTTCATCTTCTCTCCACAAGACATCAAGTTTCGCAAGTAAGTTCCTTTCTTCTTCCGCAACAGCAAGATTGCGAGTGAAATCAAGGATTGTTTGCAATCTTTTCTGGATTGCTTTAATCCTGATAGCCGCATTCCTCACATTTTTTTACTCCACTCTACAAGTTCCCGCCGACAATTACTCAAGCAGGTTTGATGATTTCCACCACTATCCCTTTCCTCTCTACCTTTTCCACAAAGACTTCTTATCTATAATTTTTAATATAAATTCGAGTCAACCAAGATATCTTAATTTAACTAGACGAACGTTGACAAACTTGCTACCTAAGTCAAACAGTCAATACCCCGAACAACATCTACATTAATGATAACTATAAAAAACAAAAATGATTAATATTAATTATTATATAATCATGAAATAAATAATTAAAAGATTTAACTATTATTTTATTTAAAACTAAAGATTCCACTATTATATTGCATTTAAAAAAACAAGTGCAGAAAATTCATAATTGCACTTTAGGAACACAATATACTATATATATAATGTCCTCGCAGTAAATTTGGATGAAAGACTAGTAAATAACACGAAACAAAGATTAAGATGGAAACAGGTCTACTCCACAAGGAGCTGAGACTCTCCGTTGATCTCTTGTTGACCATACTCTTCTTGTTGCTTAGCTTATCACTTGTCCCAACTAGCATTAGCAGCCGAACACACATTTGATACACTTGTATCAACTAGCGTAACACTTGTTGCTCGGCTTACCGGTAGGAGGGGCTGTAGCCCTCTCAACTCTTAAAATTGTGTAAATTTACATATAATTTTTGTAACAAATGTTGAAAATCAAGTAGATTTTAAGGCTTAAGTCCCCCTCTCTATAGTGGTTCTAATTCTTTCGCAGCTAAATTTTAGCCGCCCTTCGTTCAAATTTGTACCTCCGGTGTAATATACTACTATATATTTTATTTTGGGCACTTTTGGTTCATTTGTCATTTCCTTGGTGATGTGACTAACTAGCTGCTGCTACTACTACCTCTATTTCGGAGACTGAATAGGGTTATTATTCTTCATATAATGGAAAATTACTTATTGTGGAGAATCGAATAATTAATTTGTTTACCAATTTTGGAGGCAGACAGAGTAAAGGCAAGGTGAATTAAGTAGTTGGGCCAGGGCCCAAAAAACTGGAAGTGACTGGACATAGAGGATAGGGCAGGAGGGGGATGATGGCGTCACGTGGGCTGGCCGGGCACGCTGCACGCAGCGTAGCCATTGGTTGTCGTGACTGTCCGCTGCCCGCCTCACGTCAGTCTATTATTTGCCGCTGCCCACGTCAATTGTACGATGTTGATCAAATTAAACTCTTATTAAAGCCTGCCTACTGCATTTCCGTTTTTATTTTTCTAATTTTCTTACATAAACAAATTCCACCCCACGCATTTCTATACAGTTAAATTTATGTTTATGTGCTGTATTATTTTCTGTCTTTTATTACTAGTTTGGAGCCAGCCTTTTATTACTACAAATTTAAATATTTTCATAAAATGAGAATTCTACATGAATGAGTGCTGAATAATTTTCATAATCATGATAATCAATCCATATTTTCTATATTTGGCTTATGTTGTTGGTGGTTTTGTTCAAGATTGTGTACTTGATTTTTCTTGGCGGATACTCATGGTTTAATGTATCTCGTGCAAGGTTGTCAAACCGTGGGTTGACCCGGACCCGGATGAGATGGTGGGTCATGGGTTAATGGGTCACCCGTTTTAGCCCGGTTTAGCCCGGCTTAGCCCGGAAATATGGAAAATGTATTTATATTGTGCCCTCCCCCTTTAATCAATTGACTACACAACAAACATTTGTGCCACATCTATCCAGTATCTGAGATGATTCGCTTGGCATACTCCCCGGATGCCATTCTCAAAACCTGAAAATCACATAACTATATCAATACATAGCTTATATGAAAAAAGGAAATTCTTCTTCCACACATAAACAATCCAATATTCCAATCCAAATGATTACTCACAAAGGAACAATTAAACTTCAACAATTGGACTTAGAGTTGGCGGAGGCACGGGCCAAATGCCAAATCCCAAATGTCCATTAACATTTATTACAACCAAATCCCAAATGGGCAATTGCCAAATCAAGCAAAAAACGTACCAAAGTAAATCGGAATTGAAAGGCAGATGAGAAAAGCTTCGATTGGCAAGAAGAAGAGGCAGGGGCGACCGAGACGAGGCAGAGGCAGGGGTAGCCGAGCTTGACGGAGCTCGAGGCGGAGGCAGGGACAGGAACGGCAGAGCTTGAGGGAGATCGAGGCGGAGGCAGGGACAAGGACAGCCGAGCTCGAGGCAGAGGCAGGGACGGCGACCTGGAGCGAAGCTGGGAAGGTCGATTCTCGCCGCTGCGCAGCAAGGAGCTGGAGATGGAGGCCGTCAGTCGCCTGCAGGAATGGAAGGATGAGCGAGCTGTGAAGGTCGATTCTCGCCGTCGATGAAGGAAAACGAAGCTGCGCAGCAGGGAGCTGGAGCTGGAGATGGAGGGGCGTCAGTCGACTGCGGGAATGGAAGGATGAGCGGCTCGCCCGTGTAGGGTTTCTTTGTGCTCTGCATCATTTTGCAATTTCACTCCAATTCCACCAAACGACGCCGCATATTTGCAACGGCCCGCAGCCCGCTTGACCCGTTCGGACGGGTCAACCGCCCGGGTTCCACCGGGTTTGACCGGGTTTAAGCGGGTTTGACCTTATCCGGGCTGATTGTGAATTGGGTTGGTATAGCCCGTTTTTCAGGGCGGGTCCGGGCCAACCCGGGTCGACCCGCGGGTTGACAACCTTGATCTCGTGTTATGTCTTTATACCAAGGTAATAGGTAGTCAAGAAATGTACTCAGCACTCAGATTGTGGCTAGTAGAGACTGCCCGCATAACTGAAAACTATGATTTGTTTGATTATAGTTACACTTTCTAAATGTGCAATTATTTTTAATAATGGTAAGCGATGACTATATAATTTGAATTGTATTTAACCCTCAACCATGTGCAGTAAAGTCGTACCCAATCAACCTGAAAGACCATACATTTGTATCTCTCTCTCTCTCTCAAAATACGGTATATCACGTAAATAGACACATACTCGACATTCATATATTTTTTTAATTAATTACTGTAAACAAATACCCAGTCCTCGACTTGTTGGGTAATAGTATCATAATTTGTAAACATAAAGAAAAAAAAATAGTGGTTCTGCGCTTGTTAAAGATGAGGTGCCTACATCTTAACGACAAACACAAGAGCTTTCATTTAACGATATGAACCATTAATTTTCTAACACGAAGAACCCAAATTCAACACCAATGGTTGCAACTTGTATTATACAATGATAATAGTAGTAGAATGGGGAAAATGTGTTGGGTGAAGCTACTAATGTCCCTCAACCACTCCCTTTTTTGTCTGTCATTTGTTTATCTATTAATTAACTAGAGAAAGAGAGAGAGAGAGAGAGAGAGAGAGAGAGAGAGAGAGAGAGAGAGAGAGAGAGAGAGAGAGAGAGAGAGAGAGAGAGAGAGAGAGAGAGGTGATTCTTAAATTTGCCAAAACTGAACAAGAAAGAAATGAGTGAGTAGGTTCCCACCACCCAATCCCATCCCACTTTCCTTCCCTTGTGGTTTTTGTTGGTTGGTTGCGGAAGGAAAAGGACATTATTATTATTATTATCATCAATTACTAACTTAACTTTCCTATTCCGCCATTATATTTCCTAAAATGCAAATATTCCCTTCGCCTGGTCTGCGTTGAAGCAGTAGTAGTAGAGAAGGGGAAAAGACTGAAGCAGCCGAGAGGATAGATGAATATTCCGTAGAATCAATGGGGGCAAAAGTGGAAACTCTCCTAAACAAACAAAGACCCACCACCCTCCCCTCCTCCTTCTTCTTCTTTGTGGCCTCAGACCAAAGAAGATCCCAACTTCTTCTTCTTCTTCTGACCCTGCGAGGTGAGATGCGGTTAGTTTGCTTGTTAGTTAGGGTTCTTTGTGGGTTTGACCTAATTTTTGTGTTGTGTGTGTTGGTGGGGAATAGGTAATGGTGAGGGGGAAAGTGGAGCTTCGGAGGATCGAGAACGCGGCGAGCCGGCAGGTGACCTTCTCCAAGCGGCGGAGCGGGCTGATGAAGAAAGCTCGCGAGCTGTCCGTACTGTGCGATGCGGAAATCGCGGTCATCGTCTTCTCACAGCGAGGGAGGCTCTCCGAGTTCTCTAATCACGAGTAATTAAGCTGCTCGATCTTCTCCTTCCTTATAGCATGAGTTTTTTCAGTCTGTCTTTAATTGCCAAGGTCTCTCTTCTGGGTTTAGCACTAATTACACTGGGAATGAAGCTAAGTGGGTTATCTTTTGCTTTCTTACTGATCGAGGAGTACTTTGGCCTGCAGCTTTGCTTTGCTTTATTTTCAAACTAAACAACACACAGACCCGTCTCCCAAGTTCACCGTACTGTTTTTTTCTCTCTATTTTTATACGGAATAATTTCCGTACTGTTTTCCACATATTTTGATAAAATGTTGTGGATATATACTGGTTAGTTGTTGCTTGTTTGGCTGGCTGCAAGAAGAGAGGATTGGTGTGTTCAAGTCAAAAGAAATACAGACGATTAGTTTCCTGTCTGCTAATTGAGTGGAAGGTTTCTAATTAATTACTTGGATTCATTTCGATTAACGGGAACTCTTCGTGATCCTACATTTATGGTGAAGATTTCTATATATGCGATCAATTAAAGCTGGAGGTCATCTTCTATATATTGATAATGTTGATCTATAATGGTTTGATCAACATTATGTCAAACTTATATTAAGTCAAATGTCAAATGTAATTCGATCTTGTTTTGAATTTCAATATTATTGCGTTATTTTGTTTTTTTTTGTTACAACAAAAAATAACAAAGATTGAACCGAAATATGAATGGACTAGATAGGATCGAATGTGCTCTTTTCGGGATTTGGTCTTCGCATATATATTTTTTTTTTTTGCGATCTCATAGTATAAGCCAGATTTTGAACTGACGAATAAGGATATGTAGATCTAATTATAAAAGCATGTTAAATGTCGTGGTAGTGTGTCAAGAAGGACTAGTTAGTTCTGTTTACTCGTTGCGATCCTAGTTTATAATGATGATTTTACAGCAACATATTCTAGTTTTTATTTGCCAAGAAAAAACCCAATTTTCTGTCGTACTTTCTACATGAAGATATTACAATCATGCATATATATCTTAGATAACAATAATTATATTTAACACAGTATTTACTTTGACTTAAAGAACGTCTATTTGTATATGGTTTGATCATTTTTCATGCTTAATTGTGTGACGATGTAGTAATTAATCTACTGCAAGATAAATAGTGTTTAAACCTTCAATGCAGTTCATTTTTTAGGATGTATAAGCGAGATCATTGGAAACAAAAAAGATTTGACAAATTTTATGAACATTCATGGAAATACATAATCCTTTCATATGTACAAAACCAAATAAAATGTGATTATGTAAAGGACTTTGTAATCTAATTTTTCTAGAGGTCAATCATCTTTGCACCAATTCATACCGAGTACGTTTAACTTAAGAGTTCTTACAAAAACTCATTCATTTCACACCTAAAAGCATCTTATCAATTAAGTTTGCGTGTTTCATATGAATCTCATATCCCTCCTTGCTTTGTTGATGTGAGCTTTGTTTAAGTTGTTGCATTTGCATAGCACTAACACACCTTGCAGGACGCCTTATGGACTTTGATTGGTCTGTTCAATTTGAAAGTTTTCAAATATGTTTGTAATTTAGTACTTATTTAGATATGTGTTGAGAATGTATCGTTTAAGGTTGTATTAATTGACATTTTGTAGCGAATTTGACTAAAGTGTATGAGTTTGGTTTATTGTTCATTGTCAGTCAAAGATTTAATCTTTGATGTATGGAATTTAGAAAGTTCCGGTTAAACTTGTGTTGATTCAGAATGATTGATAGGGTTATCCACACACGGATTCAGGGTTGAGTAGTGTTTGTTTATTGAAATAAAATTGGAAAGAAGAGAAATGAAATGTTTACCATCGACGTTACCTCTTGGTAGAAACGGATACCAATATAAGTGTCTTCCATTGAAAAATCCACATAGAAGTGGTATAATTAATAGGGTTAAGTAGACAGATAAATGGTAGGTTGGTAGCACTTTTTTTTAATGTAAGGTAGCACATAAAGTTGTGATCTTCTTGATAATGATATTTCTAAAGAGGTTGTCGTTGCATGCATGTATAGTCTGTCCTTCATGGTAAACTAGGTTTATGGTTAATCCATATGCATATGCATGTTTTAACTAAAGTAGACCAAGTAGAAATTGGAGGTAAGAAATTGTATATCCTTGCAAGAAATAAACAAAGCTGATCTAATGTTTCTCTGGTCGCACAAAGAGCTAGGCCCAAACGCTATACAGCTAGAGAGTGCACTAATTTGGTATTGGTTTGATTGTGTTCCATCATTTGCTTTTGGTAGTTGACAATAAGCATGCATGGAAGCTATATATAGAGATTCAGTTGTTTGGCATGGTTTCTCCTGATCATGGGAATACATAAAATCCCACTGATCACTAGCCCGCCTTGGAGTAATTAAGGACACAAATGCATGGAATGGAGATGCTTTTTTAGGCTGCAAACAGAAGATTAAAAAGCAGCAACGTAACGATACATCAAATGGTTAACAACGGTTGTTGAGGACAAATTTGTGAGTGAGCATCTTAAGACCATGGCTTAATTACTTGTTGTTTGTTTTCTGGGGAAATGGGGTTTTGCAGAATGCAGAAGACGATAGCTCGGTACCAAAAGTATGCAGGAGTTGAAGTCGACAAGAGAGATACAAATTACTGCATTCAGGTCAGTCCTCCTCATCGATGAGTGCACTGTAAAAGTGATATTGCTCCTGTTAGAGTGTGTCAGAAACAAATTTCCCTACGGATTTCCAGATCGGAATTGATGTTTGGGAATTAGGGGTTATAGAACTAGGAATTAGGGGAAGAACTTATTTGAAAGACAGACAAGAGATCGAGAGAGAAGAGAATATGATTTGGAGAGATAATTTCTTCTATTAATCGTTGCTTAATCGTAAATGAATATTCAAATACATATTTATAGATTAATACGGGAAAACTCCTAACAGCCTGTTTGGATACAATTTCGGAAGAAATGGAAATGGAAATGGAATTCAATTTTTTATTTTTATAGAATTCCATTTCCAATTCTAGTGTTTGGTATAATTCCTACAACTATGGAAATGAATTGTACTTTTAACCATAATGAATAATGTAATATGTTTGTTTTATTTTGGGAAATGAAATATGAATGAGAGAGAAAGAGAGTAAAATGATAGTGGGTCAACAAAATAATAAAAAGTATTAATGGGTCCCACTAATTCCATCTCCATTCTCTCAATTCCTATCACTTTTGATAGGAATTGTAATTCCCATATTTTAGACCCATTGGAATTCAATTCTCAACCTTTTTATTATTCCAAACATAATATATGGAAATGGAATTGGAAATGGAATTCTAATTCCTTACTTTTTTGTCAATCCAAACAGGCTGTAAGAAATAACCTAGGGTGTGCCTACGGTGACATGCATGTCATGGTGACTTGCACTTTCCGGTCGACCTCAGTTAGGATTAGGTCGACCGAATTCTCATATAAGATCTGGTCGACCTCATTTAGGATTCGGTCGACCTCATATAGGATCAGGTCGACCTAATCTGTTGTTTCAGTGTAAAAACAGTTCATGGTGCCTACTTTGGATATTCATATCATACAATTGGCTAGATGGAAATTGAAGACTAATGACTTGTTTTGAAGCTGGAGTGTCCCTCTACATATTGAAGTGATTGAGAGCTCGATAGGAAGTCCAGAAGACCATTTTTGAACCTCATCAAAAGGCTATGCCAAAACTGGGAAACTGCCTGGAAATGGCTAAGTCTGGAAACGTGTTTGTGAAACCTATTTTGGAGCTCAATTCGACAAGCATGAATGCAAGTCGAGTCCAGGAGCCTCTACCACGTTAAATTATGTATGTTTTTATACAAATTCAAGGCATTGGATGAAAGATTGGATATCTTTAAGGCTTCAAACAAAAGGGTCGAAGTTGCTACGAATGCTGTTTTTCTGGCAGACTTCGAGCACAAGCAAGCGGCCAGAAAAACAGCCTTCGTAGCAACTTCGAGCCTTTTGTTTGAAGCCTTAAAGATATTCAATCTTTCATCAAATGCCTTTCCTTTGTATAAAAAAAATACGTAATTTAACGTGGTAGAGTCCCCTGGACTTGACTCGCATCCATGCTTCTCCAATTGAGCTCCAAAGTAGGCTTGACAAACACGTTGCCAGACTTGGCCATTTTCATGCAGTTTCCGAGTTTTGGCATATACTTTTGGTCAGGTTCAAAAATGGTCTTCTGGACTTTCTATTGATCTTTCAAGTACTTTAATGTGTAGAGGGACACTTCATCTTCAAAACAAGCCTTCAATCTCCAATTTCCATCTAGCCAATTGTAAGATATGAATCTCCAAAGTAGGCACCATGAAACTGTTTTTACACTGAAACAACAGATTAGGACGACCTGATGCTATATGAGGTCCAGGTCGACCGAAAAGTGCATGTCACCGTGACATGCATGTCACCGTAGCAAAGTCCAATAACCTAATACTATTCAAATACTACTAATTAACCCGAATAATAATTATCATACAATTAATAAATAGAGTGTTTTTTGACGATTGATGACCCTAAACCCTTTACTATCTCCAACTATATATTGCACTGAACGTAGGAGTGATTTTTTCTGCTTCTTCCTTCTTCTATCCTCAATAGTGTACTTGAATCCACATGCATGCAGCAACTCAAGCAAGAATCCGCTTCTATGGCCAAGAAGATTGAGCAGCTTGAAGCCTCCAGACGGTTTCTTCCACCACCCTTCCTCCTTGAAACCAATTACAGAACTTGACTTATTGATTAGAAAGTTAAACATTAAGGGTTGGGATGATGCAGGAAACTCTTAGGGGAACAGTTGGGGTCGTGTTCCCTGGAAGAGATCCGAGGCCTCAGCGAGCAGTTGGAAAGAAGCTTAGCAAACATCAGGCTCAGAAAAGTATGTGCATGCACCATTAATACTTTGTACTCATGACCATTAATTTAATTGCCATTCATGGAGAATATATTCATGCATGTAATTGGGTTTATGTTCCGTTAATCTTTGCTTCATGTTGGATTCAGGATCAAATGTTCATGGAGCAGATGGAACAGCTAAAGTTACAGGTAAAACTGGTTTTTCATGCTCGTGGATTAGCTAAGTGAACCATGTAAATATGTGTTTTTTTTATTACTTTCTTGCGTTATGAATTTCTCGATCTGTTACATATATATGGTTCCAGGTCAGTGGTGGAGCCACATGTAGAGGAGAGGGGTCCTAGGACCCCACTTACAAAAAAAAAAAATTGAACAACAAAACCCTTTAGATATGTAGGGTTTAGTATGATTTTTTGTATTAAGGACCTCATATTTTTGTTGATGTTAGCTTATTTAAGGACACCAATCAACTCAAAGTTCATTAGATACACAGACTAAAACGTTTTAAAATTTTAAGGACCCCAATCAATTCTAAGTCTGGCTAGTGGCTACGCCACTGTTCCAGGTACATGATGTTTCCGATTATAGCTAGTTATATCCTGTGATTTGAATTTTTGTTTTCAGGAAAAGGAGTTGCGAGAACAGAAGGCAACTTTATGTGAAAAGGTAAAGCATGCATGCAGTTAAAAATGATATACATATATTAGTATTGCCACACTTTTTACTTAAAAAAAATGCGACCTTTTGGTCGCTGTTGGTGATATACGTCGTCCTGAGGTTTGAAAACTTTTATTGTAGTGCCGTGAGAAGCCACAGGAACCGGCAAGACGGGAGACAGATTACGAGTCGGCGGCGACGGCGGGAAGCAGCGTGGGATTCAGCAATGAGAGTTCGACGGTGGAGACGACGCTGTCCATCGGACTACCGACGGCGGCAACACATTGTGGTTTGAAGTAGATTTTGTTTCGCCAGTTTAGCTGCCTCTTAATTTCTTTCCCGTCATCGATGATTCATATATATACCGGAACCACAATAGCAAGCAAGTGTATACTAAAGTTGGGAATTAAATATATATATATAGTGTAATAATGAGCTGTGAATGGAACGGCAGGATGAAGTGTGGATGCCGTCGTCTGTATTCATGTTTCTGCTCTTATGAACTTTATTTGTCACACCACGCCAAGAGCACCATGCAGCACTTTCGGGCTCGGGGTCGGTCAGGAAGGATAAATGGGCTTGGTGGGCTTTTGGTAGACCGCTTACAACATATGGGCTTCAATTAGCATATCTGCATGGGCTTGAGTATTTCTGCATCTGATAGCCATTTTTTTTTATCCATCAACATAGTATATACCTTCATGATTCCCTTATCAATCAACATTATAGTAGGGTCCCATGCCAATACAACCCGTATTGTGAATTCGTTTCAATTTTTTCAACCATCTCAAAATTCGGTGGCGAACAAATCCGACTTATCGCACAACAAGCGAACACAAAGAAAGTAAGGTACAACAGAAACAATACATATTGTTGAAGATACTAGGAAAAAGTGCAACCCCTCCGAGAGCTAGTGACGAGGGTGAAGAAGTGTCACAAGGCCCTGTGGCAATTAGTTCTACTGACCTTACAAGTTCTTAATGTTCTAAACTACTACGAAAACTCCAAATTCTCATCCAAGTTCTGGGAACAAAATCACAATCTTAATATGACAACATATATATGTACTATTTATCTGTCGCGACCACTTGATCATACACTTTTTTTTCCGTTGATTTCACCCGACTGCGCAACAACATGGTTATTTTCATGGATAACTTAATTTGACACCAACAATGACATCAATATCAATATGGTGAATGTTCATGATCTCTAATTCTTATCCAGTACTGAAATCTCAACTAATAGTGCGATTCCTTTTTTCTTACAGCCGGGGAAGGCCAGTATAGGTTCTTCCTTTTAATATCTAAAAAGGCTGTTGAAGTTGGACACTTGGACTGTACATAAATCAGTTTATTATTATTATTATTATTATTATTATTATTATTATTATTATTATTATTATCATCATCACACAGTATCTTATATGAATCGCTATTTGCCGCCCGCAGTTTTACTATTTGCCGCTCGTAGTTAGAAGAAAAAAGACGATTTTGCCCTTAACCCTATCCCACCCTCAACCCATCTGCTGCCGCCCCCTTCAACCCTCCCTCCTCCTGTCGACCGCCCGCCGCCGACGACCCTCCTCCCGCCGCCGCCAACTCCTCCCTCCTGCCAACCTCCTGCCGCCGACTCCTCCCTCCGCCGCCGCCGACTTCCTCGCTCACTCTCGCCGCCACCAACCTCCCAAGCTCGGCAGAGGGAATTTTTTTTATTTTTTTTTTCAGTCGCCGTCCGACTGGCCGGAGCGGACGCCGTCCGACTAGCCGGAGCGGACGCGGTCCGACTGGCCGGAGCGGACCCCGTCCGCCCGGTCTGGTCGGACCCCGTCCGCCCGGTCTGGTCGGACCGATCTGATTGGGTTTATGATTCGGTTTGAATGGTTCGGTTTAAATAAATATTTATTAGATTTATTTTAAATACAATTGTTAGTATCTTAATTAGTTTAATATTGATAGTTGAATAATTAGTATATAATTGTTAATTTGACCACAATTGGTTAAGGGAATTAGGGTTTGACTTAATTAGGGTTTGACCCGAATTAGGGTTTGACTAAATTATATATTATTTGACCACAGTTGGTTGAGGAAATTAGGGTTTGACTTAATTAGGGTTTGACCCGAATTAGGGTTTGACCTGAATTAAGGTTTGATTTAATTAGGGTTTGGCCCGAATTAAGGTCTGATATAATTAGGGTTTGGGGTTTGGCCCGAATTAGGGTTTGACTAAATTATATATTATTTTGACCATAGTTGTTTGAGGGAATTAGGGTTTGACTTAATTAGGGTTTGATTCGAATTAGGGTTTGACTTAATTAGGGTGTGACCACAGTTGAAATAATCTCACCCAAGATGACGGATAACAACAATAAGAATCAACTCGACTCAACTGGACCAATAATGACAATAAAGAAGGAAAGCATCTCATCCACCTCCTATACCTTATACTCCTCTGAAACCCTAAACCCTCATTCCCCTTGAATAGTTACCTTCAACCTCGATCCATCCAATCCTACTAGGAAATTATTTTAGAGGCAAAATCATCTCTTCCTCCACTAACAATAATATTTCATCTCGTGGAAATATACGTGATAGGCTCAAGAAACTTCTAGTTACCACCCCCAGAGCCCTAAAAACACCTCGATGAAAGTTTTGGCACTATTCATCTCTTTTTGTCGGGAATGTCCGATTGATAAACAATCGATTCCAACACATTTGTATCCACATTTTAAGAGATCGATGAAAGTTTCAATATTTTTTCATGTCGGTGACTCTAGTAATTTGTAAAAGATGTTTTTGCCCGACCTTCCCCGAGCCGCAAAGAGTCCTCTTCGTGCCTCGATTCCTTGGAAGTTTTATAAAACATATTTTAGGTACGATGATCTTATTAAATATGAAATAAATACAATTAAAAAAAGGTTTAATCAAAATTTATAAATATTTTATAACTATTCTACATAATTAAAATGAATTATTCATAAGTTTATACAATATTTATGATAATTTATGATTAAATATCCATTTTCTTATACACTACTTCAGATCATTTATAATTATTTAACATACTATAATTATTTAATTGCTATTATACTGAATTTATTTATTTTAGCTCTACTTACATAATTATAAAATAAGTATGAATTAGTTTGTACAATATTTTTTATAATTTAATTTTTTTTCTTATGAATAATTTTTAGTTTTTCTAATTCATAAATATAATTAATAAACATACATATAATTATTAGCATGATATAATATTAAAAAAAATAGAAGATTGAGTTAAATAATTATTATCATTTAGCGACGAATTTTGTGACGGTTTTGAAACCGTCGCTAATGCACGGTCCGCTCGCCGGCGTCGGACGGGGTCCTCCCGCCGGCGTCGGACAGGGTCCTCCCGCCGGCTGTGGTGATTTGGTTCTGGCCGCGGTAGTAATCTGGAGGTGGTGGCGACGTCGGCGATTTGGCGGCGGTGGTGGATTGGCGCCGGCGACAGTAGTGGTGGAATGGAGTTTGTTTTATAAAAAATGAACAAAGGGTAAAAATGTCATTTTAGTTTAATTTACGGGCGGCAAATAGTAATGAGACGGGCGGCAAATAGTAACCCTCTATCTTATCTATTAGATATCCCTATAATTCAATTGAACCAGCTAGGGAAGGGGATAATTAAGTCCTATAAGATGCAGATTAGTAGTAAAGTCAAGTCAACTACTCCCTCCATTCAACTTCAACTACAGCAATTTAAACACTCTCATCTCATCTAGGATGGCAATTATCCACCCATGAGTAATTTTACCCAAATCCAAATAGATCCATTTAATATGGGTAGGGTTTGGATGAAGTGTATATGGGTTTGGGGGTTTGTAGATGAGTTTGGGTTAGGTACGGATATTGTTTTCATAATGTAAATGGGTATGGGTTGGATATGGATATCCATTTACTTGAGGGTGTTTTAACTACACACACAAAAATTGGACCTATTTGCAAAACTTGAAAAGTTTAGGTACCAAAATGTAAGACCAAAAAAATGTAGGTACCAAAACGTAATTTTTCATCGATATTTTGAGGACTTATATGCAAAAAAAATTAAATTTAGGTACTAAATCTGCATATCTATTAAGTTTAGGTACCAAACTGTAATTTGCATTTGGCCATGGGTACAAACCCAAATCCATGTGTTAAAAACCCAACCCAACCCAAGTAAATGGGTATGGGTACAAATCCATCAAACTCTACCCATCTACCATTTATTTGGAATCCATACCCAACCCAATTGGGTTGAATAGTAAAATACTCATGGGTATGGACAAAATTGTCATCCCTAATCTCATCTATCCCAAATTCAATTACCCAGCTGATCCATCTTATCTCAATCTCGGTCCATTTTTAAAAATTTCACTCTTGGTGGTCACATTTTACCTTGTGCGGGCACTATGCCGCCACGCCACTTAAACATTTGTTGAAATCTCGTAAAGATGTTATCTAGTGATTCGATTGACAGCATGGCGGTCTTGCCAACTAGTTAAGTAAAAGCCTCGAATAGACTTCCAATGGAGATTGGGTGCATGCACTACTACATAGTACATATCATATGTTTTGGTTTTGAGCTCCCTATTTTGCTTACCGCTTATCGCTAAAAGAAGGAATGTTGTACGCCTCGTCTATAGTTTAGTTTGTAATTTAGAATCTCAACTCAACTGAGCGAAACTTGTTCTATCTTGCAATGTTGCTAGCAAACCTTGCATGAATAAATTAGGTAAATGTTATATGTCATTGTTTTTCTCCTCCCTTAGAACAAAATTGCACATAATCAGAGAGAGTAATTATAATTAAGATGAGGTTATCTTGGAAGGTAGTGACATAGTGATGTGATGTCTGTTGACACAACTAAACAATCCTAATCCTGTTCCCCCCTCCCCTGCACCCCACTCTCTGTCCTCTGGAGACAGGAAAACTATAATTTGAATTTCCTCCTTTCATTCTAAATTAAAATAAATAATTAATACCATCTACTGATATCATGCCACGTCCCAAATTTTTTAAGAGGACTGGAGGGTCCATGGGAGCGGTCAGTCGTACTCTGTTATGCAACTTTGTGTATCTATTAGGGTGGATTTTCGGTTATTTCGGTTATAACCGGTAATCAAACGATCAGTTATCGGTTAATCAAAAGTCCCTCCTCCAAATTGACACCCAACCGAAATAGGTTTCGATTATCTCGATTATCGGTTAACCGCACCTCCTTCAGGACCAAATCCATCTTGTCCAGCCTCTGATAACCGACCAAATTTTGGTTATATCAGTTAGTGGATAACCGAACGGTTTTTAGTTTAACCGACCGGTTAACCAGTAACCGAAATCCACCCCTGGTATCTATCCATTCTTCTGCTTCTTCTTCTCTTCTCTCACCATCACAAGCCTCATAAACTAGAGCCTCTAATCTAATAATGCACATATATGTATGCTGCCAAAGGGGAATGACTTGAGACTTGAGTGTTTTGTCTTTTCCTCTCTTCGTATTCCATAAGGTTTAAGGTTAATACAAGTGAAAAGACAAAATGCAAACACAGATCTCCTCACATGATCCTTAGGTTCCATTTCCATACTACTTCCTGCTAGCTACATAGGATTTATCCTCTCCATAGATGGGAGGTGGTGAGTGCTTTGAAAATTGTAGGGTGGAAATGGGGAATCTTATACTTTACTGTTAGTTCCTCTGCCAAATGTCATCAGCTAACCAACGGGTATATCACTTTGATTTTTACGTTCGAAATGCAAATGCCAAAGTGTGTTTTGTGGTAATCAATACTAATTGTAACCATCAAAGTTTTACGAATTTAATGATTAATGTATGCATGCATTACAATTAATGCTAGGATTAGAAATGCATGGGTGATTGCTCCGAATCGAACCGAGTCTTAAGAGGAAGGAGGTTAATCGTTTGGTCACCATCCAATAAATCGAAGTTAATTTAGCAGTTTTTTTAAATTAAACTTCGGATAACCCTATTCTTTCATAAGCCTGTTGCGACCTATTATTATAAAATAGTCCTTGAAACGATGTTATGTGTGTTATGTCATGAACCCGTTGCTCCCAATAACTCGAGTTGTTGGGAGAAGGTTATGCTGGATCTTATATCACTCTCAAACACGCCCCCTCAAACGATAGCCAACTCACGGGCTTGAAGTCTGCACAGGCCCACCATACCTTGTGTTTTTCAATCAACTGTTAATATTGGGGGTCGTGGAGATTCGAACACACGACCACTTGGCCAAACAAGCTCTGATACCACGTCATGATCAACCAGTTGCTCCCAATTGTTGAGAGAAAGATTATGCTGGATCTTATAGCACTCTCTAACATGTTGCGCTTCGCCCATTAACAATACAATCCTAAGTAAGACCACAGGATAAAGAGTTATCCCTTAACAATGCTTCCCTTCATGTGATCCTTTCACGCCATGGAAGTTTGAAACAAATAATGCAGGTTCCAATGATGCAAACAATAATGCAAAAAAAAATTCGAATCATGCAAAACTTTGAACATAAAGGAGAGGTGTGGGACAGAAATGGCCCTGTAGGTGATGACAAAAAAACCTCAGCAACCTGCTTTTCAGGCTACCCTGGCAGCATTGCAAATTGCAATTCCCTGTCTGTGGCTTTATGCAGATCTCACAAATGCATAATATGGGTCGTGTTTTGGGCACCATACTGTTGTCCTTATTTGTTCATAATCGGAATTCTGGTGTCACAGTACAGTATACCAACAGGCAACAGGAACCCACCACCAAAACAAAGAATCTGGCAACCAACTTTAGACCTACTCCTACACTACATACTACAAACTACGTCTCGGGGGTCGTTTGGATGGAACATTTGTAAAATGAGTCAATTTGAAGCAAATGTCTCATTTTATAAAATGAGGCAATTCGATGAGAAATTTGTTTGGAATTGTCTTGTTTGGATTGTTATTTTTCATGAGACAATTGGAACAAGGAATTTTCTGAAAATACACTTCTACCCTCATCTTTTTCCCCTCTTTATCCATCTTCCTCTCTTGCTTTCTCTGTAACCAGAAACCCACCTAGACCAACAAAGATGAATGCTCAACAGCATTGAAAATCAACTATGCAAAAACACCTTATCATAAATTTAACTGTCCAATTAGAGGCTGATCTTGTCGAGCCGCTCTAACTGCTGCATTTCTCTCCAAACACCAAACCTCGATTGCTCCCCAAACTCTCTTCTCGTCTTCCTCAACTCTAGTCGGCGACCATCATCGTCGCGAGCAATACTGAAGGGAAAGGACAGGCGGCACAGAGGAGTCTTAAACGGCGAAGGGAGAGCAGCAACTAAATGAAATCTAGCACCGAGCTAGATGAACTAACCATCGTCGCTCCTGGATCTGGCTCTTTGAGCGAATCTCTCCTCCTAACATCTGTTCTTTTTCTTTCTTCTTCGACAAATCGAGAACCCAGCCGCCCATGCATCGCCTCTCCTCTCTTGATTCGGCCAAACCCACAACGACGCGACCGAGGTAGATGAAATCGACCATCGCCAGCCATCGTGTTCAAACTGTTGTTTCCCCCGATGCAAACGTCCAAGGCTGTCGTCGGGTGCAAGGAATAATCAGATAAAATTGAAGGTCAGTTGAGACCATGTAGAGGTGAGTGAAGAAAATTGATGTGTGGCGGTGGATCGTCCTTCGTCTGCCGGAGAGAACGAGAGGAGAGAAGATGTCTTCGGCAAGAGAGAAAGAGAGGAAAGAGAGAGAGAAGATGTATCGACAGAGAGGAAAAGGAAAAATATAAAAGGATACAATTGGAAGGAAAGAATAAAAAACGCGTCTTTTCTCATTACCTGCCCCTCACCCAGGTATTTGAGATTGACGCCTAACGGATCAATTGTAATTGGACCGGTCCAAATTGCTTCATTATGTTTTTTTAGTGCCAAACGGGACAATTTGCTTCAATTACCTCATTTTGAGGTAATTGGGTACAATTGATCCATTACATAGATCAATCCAAACGACCCCTCGGTCCATGCAAATTGCTCAAAAGCCATTCCTTTTTTCCTTTTAAAGGATCTTCCTTTTTTTCATACAGGAGAGAACAAGTGCTCAAACTCCCACGAAAGAAAGATATAGACCATTCCCATGTTTGTATATCAGGTCTTTTGAATCCAATCCTTAACCCCCTCCTATAAAGTTAGGGCACTACTGCCCTTAAAAGGTGGTGCTTTAATTATTCGTCCATTATGCACTTTGTTCCTATGTGCTCTGTCCCATCTGGGTTTGATTTTGGTTAACTCCTTTTTCGCATTGATTGCTTGTTTTGTTTTGTTTGTTTGGGTAGTGTAATTTTTCTACTTGCACACACTCCTAATTAGTGTTAAATGTGTCAATTAACTACACCACAAAACTCAATGTATTTTCGCCATCTAGAAGACCACAAAACGCCTAGCTCACACCAACCCAAGTCCAATTAACACTCAAAACCAATTCCTTCTCTTTTCTCTTAATCTGCGCTTCCACTTTACAAAATTCCAAATCCAACAGCTCAAAAAGTTACAATTAGAGACCCTAACCCCCAAAAATAGGGCATGGGTAACTATAATTAAGTAATTAGTTAGTTACTAATTAAGTAATTATACAAATTAGAATGAGCAAGGGGAGACAAGGAATGAGATTCCTCTTTCAGTCCAATTGTCGTCTTTCATAAGCCGCCAATCAGAGACCGAAACGTGTAAGGGAAGCGGCCTCCACGTGTAAGCATCTAAGAGGCTCCACGAATCCCAATCTTGGGGTCGGTGGTCGTCATCTCTCTGCCATCACGTGACCCCCCATGTGACCTCCTGCTCCCCGCGCCGAAGCCCAAAAACGGGCTGATGGTGTTGGGTTGGGCCTTTAGGATAATGTCCAGGGCCGTTTCATGGATCAGCGAGTCCAACAACTCGGTTTCCACCTCCGTTAAGATCCCTTCCCCTTCTTCTTCCTCCACCACCGCCGTTTCTCGCCACTGGAGCTCCGGACGATCGGACAAGTCCTTGTCGATCAGGGCATCGATGTCTTCCAGAACCTGACAGTCCGCGCTAGGGAAGCTTCTTATTCTCTTGCACAGCGCTTCCACCAGATCCGACCCGGTCACGCTCCGATCCGAATTGTTGAGTATGTCTGAGCTCCTGGCCGTGGTCCAGGGCACGACGTTCATGTAAGGCTTGAGGATCCCGGCGAGGATTTCATCGACGAGGTGGAAGATTAGCTTCCGGTTGTAAGGGGGGATGACGTGGCCGGAGGCCGGCGGCGGCGTGGTGGTGGCGGTGGTGATGTGCTCCAGGTGGTAGAAGATTGTCGGGTCGAGCGGGTGGGTTGGGGAGAACCAGTTGGTGAAGGAGACATGGGTGTCTCTTTCGATTCCCGTACGCTTTAGGATTCTGGTGATGTACTCTTCCTCCGCCGCTGCTTCGGCGGTGGCGGCGGCGTCATTGTCCTGGTGACTGTTCTCTTGAGAGGGGACCGATCGGGTCGCTTCCTCTTGCCGCAGCCTGTACGACGCCGTATGGCTCGGATTACTAGGTAACTGTAAAGAAGGAGAAGAGGACCGTCTCGAATCTTGAGCGTTACTCAACCCCACCTGTTGAAAATTGTAAAAAAAAAATAAAAATATGACCGTACCGGGAAATTAGAAATAGAAATTGGAAAATTATCAGTAAAAATGGCGGTGTACCTGTTTTTGGGGGGAGAGGGAGAGGAGCTTGGTCGCCGGAGGGGCGGGGTCCTTCTTGACCGGAAGAATGAGTGAAGGGAGCTCGCTTGATAACGGCGTCTTCCTGCACCTCTTGTCGGGAATATTCCCGCCTCTGGTTGCGGTGGTCGGACGCACAAACGGCTCCTCTTTCTTGTTCCGGATTAAATCCGACGTTTGCGGAGGCATTCTCTTCTCTCGGCTTTTCTTCCTCTCCACCGCCGGCTGCTCTTTCTCTTGCAACGATATCATACCTCCCTGCCTCGGCTTCACCGCTACGTTAATTTTCTGGACTGGCGTCGTAGGGTTGCTGATCATCGCCTCTGCCGTGGAAAATGACTGTTTTCTTGACTGAGGCATTTCGTCGAGCACGTGGTGGTCCTTTCTGTAATGTACCGATTTAGGCTTTTCGTTCTGCTGCTTGACCACGGGAAACAAATCCACGGGCTCCTCTTCGGCGACTCTCGGCAGAACTTTCTTCTTCTTCGACTTGATTTGGGCGACGAGGTCGCTATCCCTCCTGCCGCCGCGTTTCTCCTGGTTTTCTCTGTTTTTAACGGTGTTGGTAATGTCCAAACCGACTCTCCTACTGACGCTCTCTTTCACCTGCTTTACAATCTGCTTCGCGTACTGCCGCGGACTTCTGGTCTCTTCCTCCGGCTTCAATTCCCTCCCCTTCAGCCGCGCTTTGATTCGCGAGATGACCAGCTCCTCGCTAGGCGTCATGTTCTCCTTGTTGAGCTGGAGCGACAGCCGGTGGTGGTAGTGGTCCGCGTCGGAGTTCCTCGCCGAGGAAATTCTCGGCGCGCCGCCGCCCAATTCGTGGCAGTCGAAGCTTCTCCGGTGGTGGCTGTAGTGGGAGCTCTGTTGTTGTTGTTGCCTTCCCTGCTGCTTCTGGTGTTGCAGGGGACGCAATTGGGAGAGCTTCCCGCCGTTGATATACGGCGTGGTGGCAGAGGATGCAGAGGAGCGTGGAGAGTGGTTTTCCGGGAGGAGGTCGAGTCCCATCAATCTGGCTACCAGAGTCGGAGTCTTCGTCGCCGGGGAAGAGGCCGCCGTTTCTGAATCCGATCCTGATCCCAGTCGGGTTCCGGGTTCTCCTTTTCGGGTCGTCTTGATTTGAATGCCCATCTGGATTTTTTTTTTTTTTTGGAAAAGAGAAAGAGGGATTAAATTGCAGAGCTCCCCAAGAACAGTAAGGTTTGAAAGAAGATTAATTAGAATATTAGTCTTTCGAAAAAAAATACTATACCCACCGGGATATTTAAATTCTGTGCTTGCTTAGCGGCTAATGGTACTGAAGCTTCCTCCTCGTCCGTCATTTCCAAGCTGTTCCTCGGCGCTTCAGCGCCTGAACATTGTTAACAATTCAATACGATCAGTTATCTAATCAAGCTGTTTATCGTCGAAATTTCTTTTCCTCTTTTCAGGGGAAGGTAATTAAGTGAGTAATGGAGACCTTTGGGAACGGGGGGAGGGTGGCGGGGGAAGTGGAAAGAAGGGCGCTGGTTGAGAGCGGTGGCGAATGGTAAATCAAACAGCTGGAACACAGCACACATGCAACCGGAAGGGACGCCGCCGGCGCTAGCCTCACTTCTACCAGCTCCGTCGCCGCCGCCGCCGCCGCGGTCATCAACTCTTTTTTTGCTGCGTTTGGAGGAGCCACCCCAGTACCAGTCTTTGCCCATGTTGGGAAACGGAAACGCTTTTGGATGAATTTGCAGGTAGAAGAGAAAAAAGCTTTGGTGGGAGTCAGAGTGACAATGACAAGGAAAAAACAGAGGAGCGGAAGGAAGGAAAAGCTGAAACAGAAACGTTATAAGAGAGAGGGAAGTGGGCAGGAGGAAGGAGAAGAGGGGGAGCGCAAAAACCGGATCCACGGATGAATAAATCAGCCCAAAAATTTTGATGGAGGGAGGGAGGGAGGGAATGCTGATATATGAAATTACGAACGTTAATTTGTAAAGTTATATATATACCAGAAAAAACCGAAATTCAAAATGGAAACTTAGAAGAAAAGCAAAATGATTTATTGTCATGATTATTATTATGAATAGAAAAGGCAAAACTAAGAGATGGGTCTTATTTTACCGGCCCATTCCAACACTCACTCCCAAGTTTTACCGGACCGAACTCTGGCCGCCTTGGGAACTGGAGAGATGGAGAAACGAATTTGTTTTATTTTCAGTTTCTTCCTAGTTTTGTTTCGGTCCAAGTCAAGGCAAGAGAGATGGATTATTTCCCAAGACTGAAAAAAATAAAGAATAGGTTACTCACTCGCCAAACTTAATTTGATTACTAATTTTGAAATTACATTGAATTTTAAGATTGCACGATTTCCATTACATTTCATGTTCAATTAAAGCTCAATGTTAGCTTAATTATACTACAAGGAAAATAATTCATCCCACTAGTTTAAATGGTTATAAAGTCCAATTTCATATAATATTGTTCATAATCGTGTGAGTAGAGGTGACAATTAGGATCCAAATTCATGAATCCAATCCAATCCATCCACCAAATTATCCACCTAATCCAATCCATTTGATCCAAATCCAATTGGATTGGTGGATTCATGGATCAATCCATGGATTCAAATGACAAATTACGATTTGGTACCTATATTTTTTTATATTTTACATTTTGGTACCTAAAATTTATATTTTTATACGAAAATATCATTGGAAAATTACATTTTGGTACCTAAAATTTTTCATTATGACATTTTAGTACCTAAACTTTTCAAAATTTACATTTTGGTCCAAGCCTTGGATGTTATTTGGATTCATGGATCAATCCACCAATCCATTGGATCCAATCCATGAATCCACCAATCCATTGGATCCAATCCATTTGATCCATGGATCCACGAATCCAATCCACGAATCCGATCCAATTGCCACCTCTAATCGTGAGTATTTAAATCATAAAGTCCAACTAAAAACAAAGAGATAAGGATAGAATTGAGTTTGATTAGAATATAATAGTAGAACATAAATGAAGTAATCTGACAGTTTTTTATTGAATGAACGAAATCAATCTTAAGTACAATTGCTAGACCTTCAAACTCGGATACCACTAATCTCTACTAACTCCTCACTCCTGAAATCAAGCCACGACAACTAACTAACCAATAACCATAGCTGAAAACACTCAACCCTGCTATGCTAACAACTCGTAAAGGGACTCGACTATCACAAGACACAACTATAGTCTATAGGTACTAAATTGAACTAATCCAAACGGCACAATTTAATTAAGACAAGACTTTATAATTTAAACACATAATTAGCGCCACACTTCAATCCTTCTGCCACAAGGATTCTGTTCTTGATTCCATTTCCAGCCTCTCTTGCCGCAGATCATTAGTCTCCATCTCCAACAAATATTAGATTCTTTCATAAAATGACGATGAATATGATATAATATGAGGTATGAAATTGTATGGTTCTAGGATTGCAAAGATTAATTTTAGTTCTTGTTAGTCTTTGTCAGGGGAGGGAAAAGATGACGAAATCCTACGCACCTTTGACCCTCTGTTTGGCAGTTTGCACCCTTCTCTCTGTCGCATAAATTCAATTCAGAAGCTCGATTTACAAAGCTTCCCCAAACAGGCACACATCGAACAAAGGGCAAACATGTAACTCACCAATTTAGTGACCCAAAATCATGGTATTCGAATTGGTACAATCTTGTCAAAGCGAGTAAAATTTGTCCTTAATGCATTATCTTCTTGATTTCAATGAAATCCCATCAGTTAACTCTAATAAAAAGTGAGTAAAATTTAGTGTTGATAGGTTTTGTATCGGGTGTGGAATTTTACCCGCTTTTGAAATTGGCGACCTGGATTAAAAAAGTAAGGCGATGTCATTTTGTACCTAACATGAACAATATAGATAATTTATGAATGTTATTTGTCTTTGTATAAGAATAAATCTAATAATATGGATAGTTTATGGATGTTAAGTCGTTATAGATATATTTGTAGGAAAAATTACGATAACGTTAAGATATACGTGTTCGGAAAAAAATATAGTTATGTTCATAAACTCAGGGTACCCACATACACATGGGTGCTACTTGCTAGTTGAGTTGGATTGGATTTACTCTTTTAAAATCCAAATAGTTTGTTTAACATATGTTTTTAAAAATGCAACCTCTAAATTAGGATTGGATTTAGAAAAACCCAAGGCATTGCAATCCTTACTCACCATCAACCTCATCCTCCAGTCTCCTCTTTGTTGTTGATAGAAACATATTTTTTTAATAAATGCAACCTCTAAATTAGGGTTGGATTTGGAAAAACCCAAGCCATAGCAATCCTTACTCACCATCAACCTCTTCCTCCAGTCTCCTCTTTTGTCGTTGCTTTCTATCGAGAGAGAGGGGGGGGGGGGGGGGTGGGGGGTAAACAAGACTCATGTTTAGTGGTTAAGCTGAACCATTCTTCTCTTCTCCTGCCTCCATTAGTTCTTGTGACATTCAATTGTGCAAATGCGAACTTTTTACAAAAAAAAAAACTTTTGCTTTGTCTTCGCAACCAATGCAATTCACTTGTTGTATAATTCAATGAGAGCGAACGAAAACATAAAACGCACAACACCGATTTTACGTGGTTTCCCCGTTCATGAATGAACGAGACTAGTCCACGGAGAACGTGAGTTCTCGGCCGATCTCTTATTATGATTAGGTTTTGCACCCTTTTTCTTAAGGATGCAGACGTGATTCATGCTCCTTTTATACAAGCCCTAGCCGAACCCTTCAACACTAAACTCGGGTTGGCTAATTGCAATAAGATTCCAAAACTTAACAAAACTGACAAACAACAAGTAAAGGGATCACAACACTCCCCCTCGAGTGAAGGAATGAATATAAAGAAGTCTAATCTTGATCAAAAGATGTGAAAATTGATCAACGCTGAGACCCTTGGTAAACAAGTATGCAGGCTGTTCCTGAGTTGCAATGTTGAGAGGAAGGACATCTCCTGACTGGACGCGCTCGCGAACAAAATAACAATCCATTTCTACATGCTTTGTGCGCTCATGAAAAATCGGATTGGCTGCAATATGAAGAGCCGCTTGATTATCACAATAGAACGAGGTCGACTTGAAAAAATAAACTCCCAAGCCGCGAAGAAACCATCGAAGCCAGAGGACTTCGCTAATCGTGTTGGCCATGGCACGATACTCTGCCTCAGCTGAAGAGCATGCAACCACACACTGTTTCTTGGTGCCCCATGATATGGGAGAAGCACCAAACTTGATGAAGTAACCAGTCGTGGATCTTCACTTAAGAGGGCAACCAACCCAATCAGCTGTCAAAGAGAGATCCGGAGAAGCCGGAAGGAACAAACCACGACCTGGGCATGTCTTAAGGTAGAGTAGGATGCGAGTAGCAATGTCAATGCGAGCCTGGGTGGGCAAGTGAACTGCTTGACTAAGAAAATTGACCTAATAGGTGATATCCAGTCGAGTAACAGTGAGGTAGAGAAGTCGCCCAACAAGCCTGCGAAACGAAGCAACATCGATGGTAGGATGGGAAGCATCTTGACCAAGGCGATGATTCTACTCAGTAGGAGTAGGACTGGGGCGTGTAGCCGTGAGACCAGACTTAGCAAGAATATCTAGAACATACTTGCGTTGGTTTAAGACCAAACCACGAGGTGATCGAGCAACTTCAATGCTCAGAAAATACTTGAGCGGTCCCAGATCCTTGATAGTAAGCGTGAAGAAATTCCTTTACACGCTGAATGAAGTCCATGTCGTTGTCGGTCAAAACAACATCATCAACATAAATAAGCGCCACAACAAAGGTGGTACCTCGACGATAAGTGAACAATGCGTGATCAGCCCGGCTCTGCATAAAATAAAGTTCCACGAGAGTCTGAGTGAACTTCTGATACCAATTCCTCGACGCCTGACAAGAGCGTATATCGACTTCCTAACCCGGCAAACGCGAGTCTTGCCAGGTTGGGAAAAACCTTGAGGAATCTTCATATATACCTCCTCGACTAAGTCACTACGCAGGAAAGCACTGTTCACATCCTGTTGATGAATGTTCCAACCCCTGCTCGCTGCAACTGTGAGTAAGCAGCAAAGTGTGACCAACTTAGCGACAGGAGCAAAAGTGTCATAATAATCGATACCCTCTATCTGAGTGAATCCCTTCACCACAAGTCGAGCATTGTAGAGCTCCACCATACCATCAACATTAAACTTCACCTTGAAACCCCACTTGGAAGCTATAGCACGCTTCCCCGGTGGAAAATCACATAATTCCCAAGTGCCATTGGTCTCGAGAGCATGATACTCGATCAACATGGCATCGCACCACTGTTGGTAGCGCATGACCTGATAGTAAAAATGAGGTTCTTCAACTCGACTAACTGCGGCTACAAAAGCATGATGTGCCTGTGACAAACAACGATACGTCAGATAGTCCTTCGATGCTCGGCTTTAGCCGCGTGAGCAAAACCAAGAAGTTCCACATCAAAAGGTTGTCTGGAGTGGTCACTACGACGAAGGGCAGGTGGTGCATTGGCTGCTACAGGAACCGAGGTAGACTGGCCATCCAAAGAGGGCGATGGAGCTGAGGAGGATGACTTTGGGACAGCTGAAGAAGGCGAGGGAGACTCGCCATCCAAGTCATTCAAGTCCACGGAGGGAGAGATGGGTTGCGAGCCACTAGGAGGAACAGTACCCGCCGAAACAAAAGTGGCAGGCCAGGCGAGGAAGAATCAGACTGGGCAGACTCAACAGTAGTGGATAGAGGAGTCACGCTGGACAGACTCAACGTACTTCGGCTGATTTTATATTATGATTAGTGTTATATGCTCCTTTTATACAAGCCCTAGCGGAACCCTTCAACACTAAACTCGGGTTGGCTAATTACAATAAGATCCCAAAACT